AGTTGTTTATGATAGTTACTTTTTTGTATTTATTTTTACCAGTTGCACAAACGCGTTGGCTCGGAGTTATCCTTCTTTTTTTCTAAATGCAGGTTACTACTAAGACTTCTTTTAGTAATCCTTCCCCTCCCCTCAAAAATGTTGATAAGTTGCTGTTGTTACACTGCTAACGTCTTTTGTGGGCGCCGAAGTCGTTGAGCGGGAGGCGAGTCGACCTGTTTGCATAATATGCCCTGTTCAGAAGATGAAGATGCCATCACTGGAACAAGACATTTATTGGCCTGACGTTTCGGATTCTCACTCGAATCCATCATCAGAGACAATCGCAGATAAAGGTGATGATGGCACAAGGAGTGCAGCATTTATAGCAGGTGGCTGCCGTGGGACCATATGCGCACTGAAATTTACAGCTCTCACAATCACCGCTGGGGTCGTAATTGATGCGGTTGTGGCTTGTCAGTCCGAGTCCGAGTTGTTAATTGCCGCGATTTCGTCATCCGTGCTGGATGCTGGTGTGACGATTGCTCGGCAAATTGGCTAACTCATTGGGATAATTGCTCGCCCGCGCCCTTCCCACGTGACTGATTCCCCTGCCCAGGGAAGATCTCAGCACGGATTATGGTGCCGGGAGGCCATTGCGCTTGTTGATGAATTGCGGGCCTGAGAACCATGACTCGAGCATCTCGCGGCTCACGCGGTTTTCACCCCTTGCGAGGATTTCGGCCTCTTGAAATTTGAAAATATGGCCGGGTCCCATCGAATGTGCCGCCACCTGAGAACCAGTGTCTCCCCGCCTCACTGCTGTTGCGTGCTCGGCAATTCGCGTACGGAGTAATCTCCTAGTTTCTCGATGTAGTTGCTTTGTCCGCAACTGCACCAGATCCGGTAAACGACTCCAGACGTTTCCTGTCGTGGCAGTGGGTCTTTCAGCCTCATGACTTGGCGCCTAATGGTTGCTTCCGGCCTGTGTGCAACCCCAACTCCAAGTGGAGTGAGAAGACGATTGACGGCTTCGGAGACGTTCTTCACGTACGGAAGAGCCCGCCAAAATTTGGGGCCGGTTGGATTTGGTCTCTGGTGTCCTTTTCGTATGCACTGGTTGACAAAGTTGCGTGGGTAACCAGTGGCTCTCATTAACCGTCGAAGATATTGTAATTCAGCAACCTTGTCTTCCATTTCACTGCGGTGCGTCTTAACGCGCCGGTATAACCTCCTAGCGCAACTGCATTTGTGACTGATCGGGTGGTTGCTATTGAACTGTTACCCGGAACTCGCCTGTTCGCATCTATCAGCAATATGCCCTGTGTGTTGTTGGGTTGCGGGCTCTCTCCTCACAAAAGGCTGCTCAGTGGATGCGCTGAGGCAAAACGGGGGCCAGGGCGGCTCATGACACGCGTGAGGGCCTACAGTCGCTGTCGTGCAGGCGTGCGGTGGGACGGCCCAGACGTAGGCCTCCACACTGCGCTAGCCATTACACCCAGCCCCCATTCACCAGTTGTCAGAGGGACTCGGACGGTCGACCTGAGCGTGGGAGATGGAAAAGAGAGAGCGAGAGAGTGAGGCTGACGCCCGGGTATCCAATATCACTGCACATTAATGCGTTCCTCAGCATGATAAATGTGACGAGCTTCAATATGTCACGACGCTCCAAGAATAGGGGTTTGCGAGGTTGACCACTGAGGAGGTAAGTCGGTCCTCCCTCTCCTGGCAGAGACAGGCTGTATGAATGCAACTTTTGGGGCACTTATGCGTGGCGGATCCGAGCCGTCGCTGCAGAATCCCGTCACGAGGTGGGGACCAGGTCATGTGTAGCACGCGTAGTCGAGCCGTTTAACTTTGTCGGCTATTGTGCACGAACTCCGGGCAGGGTGGGTGGGGAAGAAGAGTGAGGTATGCGCTGCGTAAGTTTGCATCGCTATAAAAGATCCACATGCAAGTCGCCAGCGCTCCGCCGAAACTACCGTATTTGAGTCCTCAAAGTTGGAGTAAGGTACTGTTACAGAAATACTCTGCTCAACTAGCGAGCGCTTGCCAGTACTTTCGAGAACTTGCCTACGCGTTTTGTATAATTTAATTCACAGTCTAAAACTTGTGCTGCTAGGGCTGCAGAAATATCAAAATATTCATCCGGTAACATCGGCCTGCGTTTCCCTTTATTTTGCGACTGTATAGTCCGCAGGACGGCGAAATACTAACGGGGAGTCGGGTATCTTATGAAACGCCTTCACAAAACTAGATCTCAAACGGCTGAGCCGCATCTGACTGACTTTTGCCATGGTTTGGAAATCCTGGTTTCTGTCGAGGTAGTGTTTCCACCCCGTGTTAGTAGAGGTGCTTAACTATACGCATTCGGTTTAACCCCATGATTACCTTGAATTGTGTAGTGATGATGATGGCTGAGGCCCGTCAACCCAATTCCGAGTGTTCCTCTGGTTACTGTTGATCATAATCCAAACTTCGTTCCAGGTACCCTGAGATTTGCAGGTGAAGTTTGACAACCTCAGCAAGAGGATGCTAGGAATTTTGACTCTGGCAGCAGTGCCAGGCGGTGCATCTATTTGGTAAGAGTGGATTCTGCATGACGGCTACCCATCTGCCTTGCGCTGTTTGGTAGCTCAAATTCAGGTGATTGATGCGATCAACGATGATGTCACAATTGGAAGTGCATAGTTCAATTAGCCAACATGACGTGATATTATAAGGAAAAACAGGGCCTGGAGGTTGTGTAAAGTGGGCCAGACTGTAGTGAGTCAGACGACTGGATTTTCACGGCAAAACAGACTCGGGGGATGATCTGGTTATCTGCACGAGTTCGATCTAACCCTGCGGATGTAAACTGACCTGGCTGCCAGCTGCCTTTGTTTACGTCTAGTATCCAGTAGGTGGAAGACAATAACTAATGCATTAATAAGTACTTTCTTGACTGCCCTCTTACATGCCATACGCGGATAAATCTGCAGACAGGAACAGCGAAGTTGTGATTGGCGGTTGTATCTATAAAATTATTAAGCCCTGTACCAACCATCCTTGGTAACTATGGAGAAGATTCTTGGTGGGATTAGGTTCGGAGCTATCGGCAGAGGCGAACAGGTTGACTGTTTTCCCAAAAAGCTCGGTTACTGTAGTGGGCGGTGAGCAGGAGCATTGTCACGCAAAATTACGAGGTTGGTTTGGTGTCTGCAAGTGCCGTTATAGCCGAAGATATCCTTCGCGATGTCGATGAACACTTTGGTGTCGACCGTTACATTGGTCGCCATGTAAATTTGATGGCCATCCGAACCACACCAGCCGTCAACAGTTCTCGGTAGTCGCAATGGACGCAGTGTGCCAACTGATAAACAATCAGGAGCGGTGTGCAAAGGCTGAGCAGGGCGTGACAATGTGGGGCGGGCTGCGTTGTAGATCCTTTCTGTGGCACAGTGTAGCCTCGGCCTCTGAATCATTCGGCCTGCGGATGACGATAAAATCGCAACGGGAGCCTTTGGAGCTGTCCCACGCGTGGCGCGGACCGGTCTGTTAGGACTGCAGAGTGAAGATGGGCGCTTTCGTCCTTCCCGGGAGCTCTAAACCCAGCAACCCTGTGATTCCAGCGAAGAACCATAATCACACATGGTCGCTAGACGCTCGTCCAAGGACAGGCTAGCTTTCTGCGACTTACTCCACGGCGCCGCTGTTTTAAGAACGTGACAGAATATGCGTCGGAACGATGGACGTCGATGGACACTTTCCGATACGTGTCTAGTCGCTTATAATCTGACCTAGACTTCCAACCACAGACTGGATGTGTTGTGTTGGGTTTGGACGCACCGAGGTAGGAAGCCAATCCTTCCTCGGTAAACGATATACCCCATCCGACGCATGTGCACATCGTATCGATGGGTCACATATGGTTGCTTTTCGGGGTCTGGAAAGTGGGCGCCTAGTCGTGATCCTTATGGGGCAGGTGATAGACAACCGGTTCAAGAAAGCATAGCCAAGTTTCAAAGGCAAGATATTACTTATTTGACTTAGTGAAAATACAGCCTTAAACTACACAAGTCGAATTGCAAGAAGAGTCAACCCAAGACTTCCCAAAAGAAGACTTTAAGGCTTGAAGCGTCTGCCTGTCGCCGACCACGTATCGAACGTCCACGCTGTCTATCGACTGCTCGCATTAGGACAAATATACAGTTAACACGGGCGATTACTACTCATGTGTAGGTTTCTATGGTGCTGGTTGTCAGGACTGCCAGCATGACAAACAGCCGTACAAACCACAACAACCATAATTGAAGACTAGGAAGAAAAGCCCAGCAGGCAAGACAATATCTATGAGTCCCCAATCTCGGCGCCTGTTCAAGGCCCAGATTTGGGGGTTTCTAGTCACCTTCGGGTTCAGCGTAGTGTCCAAACGACAAAACCACCCCTGAAAAGCAAAACACAACCCTCAGTGAATAATCCTTTTCAAACAGCTCTCGCTGTAGAACTGTTATCCAGTCTCAGTTAACTCTGTTCAGGCATGCTCCTAGTCACGTAAATTTGCGCGTCACAAGGACACAAAGTGACTGCCGGGCGTCCCAAATAAATACCAACTGTGACCGCACGTTCTAACCATACATCGGACTAACTGGACACGTCGAAAGCCGTGGTTTGGGAGGTTGTAGGGTGGCGTAATGCCACAGCCACACTGCAATGGCCCCTTATTAACGTGCCCTCCATTGCACTCGCGTTCAGGTGAGATAGTAGGTTTCCTAGGAGAACCCGGTACGTAAAGATCCAGGCTACAGGTCGTGTGTGGCGCACGTAGACGGGCCGTCTAGGTCTGTCGGCCACCACGCCCACTTCCGGGGAAGGGGGTTGATGTATCGCAAGTCACGGAAGTCATGCCGTGTATTATGCAGGACAGCAATGAACAAAATCAGTACGTCGCATGACAACATATTATTCATGTTCATTGTAGATCAAGTAAAACAAAATATAATGAGTAGCCCCAATTATCACAGTAGTCCGCATGGATCAAATTAGTTCAAGAAGTCCTCAAGAGCAGCTTTACAAAACTGCCTTCGCTGAGGATCCCCCGCTTTCAGCTTAGGTAGAATTCGAAGAAAATATGGATCCTTCTCAATTTCAGCTAGACAGAAGGGATCAAATTCGAAATGTATTCCGCTGAGGAGAGCTTCTCCTTCACCAAAACGGCAACGAATTATGGCCGGAGTTCGCAGGTCGCTGCTGAAAATAGGAGGAGATTATGAGACGGAAATTTAGTTAAGTTTCCTAAAAAAGACAAAGGACTAACTTTCTGCTGGCTTGTCATGCGAAATCACCAAAAATAGCTAGATGAAGCGCGAAAAACGAGTTCCCTATAATACTTCTGAAACAGAAACTTTAAGTGGGGGTTCATCAGAAGATCACTCCTCGAGGACGCCTTTCGAATTTGAGTGAGAGCACCAGCAAGCCTCCAAGACGATCACAATAAAGTCGACAATGCTTGAAAAATTCTAAAAGGCTTCTGCATAGCGTTTGTGATTTGACCGTGTACTGCCCTCATAATTGGAGCCGGCTGATGGAGCTTAGGTTCAGTCCTCATTTTTATAACTTCGTGTGAACTTGAAGAAGAGTCCCGCGTACAAGTCCTTTCAGGTTCGGTCAGAATGTTGGCGTGGATAATTCAGTTGAATTTTATCAACTTCCGCGGAACAACTGCGGGCAACAATCGGGAGGTGGCACCAAAAAATCCGTTACCTAGAAATAACACCTTTAAAAGTGGACTCAAACGCCTTCAGGCTATATCAGCGGTTGCAGGCCTACTTTCACGTACTACTTGGACTTTCCCCGACGGCTTAACATGGGCTGGCTGAACGAGCATCGCAGGAGGTTACATGGACGATGGTCGCTGTTACCGAACCTTCCCCATCGTTACACACGTACACCTGAATATACGGCATACATTCGCATTCTGGCAATTTATTACAAAACAAAATCACTTTTAAATAGGATAAGTCTGCAAAACGTGGGACAGGAACAGTTCTCAGGCATCTGTCAAAGACATGGTATTTAGGCCAAACCAAAGACGATACTGTACTTCGTCTATGTGAGCCCACAGAGCTCGACAGGGCCTCCCTCGTAGAGTTTCCTTTTCAGTCTACTCCAGTATGCCTCAATGGCATTGGTGTGCCGTCTGGTGGTAGTCCTTGAAGTTCTTTGAGTAGTCAACAGAGAAATGTAGATAACCTTCTGAGGGAAGATGATTATACGCCTCCACTTGTCCGTTACCACTATACTGCCTTTGGCGACCCATTTTGTAATAACGGAACGGAGAGCGGGCCAACTTCGATCATTCACCTGTTCAAATAAGGCTTTCCGTCGACTAGTATCGTACATCCCGACGAGCCACCATCCATAAAACCCCCATTACCACCTGTCCCGTAAGAGAGGCTGCTTTGGTTAGGCGGGTTTTTTGGGTGCCATCTCCCGATTATTACCCAACTGCGTGCTATTCAAAATCTGCCAACGGACAGCCAGTGCTTTAACGGTGAACAGTCTGCAATACGTATTTCAACAGAAAGTCAGCTATTGTTATGTCGAGTCTATAGTTTGCATGACCATCGCGTGCCTAACAGAGTAGCCATAGGACAACGACTTGCGTGTGGATTAGTTTATAATGAGGCAGACTTGTTAAGCATCTAACACACTTCCCCCCCCTCCCTCACCCACCTGGCTCTGGTGGCAAGATAGTGTAAAGACGACCGAATATGGTTGGCTCGGACGAAGTGTCTGACAGCGTCTACGCGTGCCACACACAACCCAATCCCTACAGCATTTAACGGGCACAGATGCAGGTGAAATTTTAAAGTTTATAACGAATCACTCGAAAGGAGAGCATACCCGCATTTAAGCAGGCCAATTCTATTAAACCACCAGGACACAAAAAATGCTGACAGTCGGTTAGGCATATCTGACATTGAGATTATACTTTCGGGGCCCCGGGAGACACCAATGACTGAGTGGAGACTGAGGTGACAGGGCGAGAAACCGTGCATGAGGTAGGGTAGGGAGCACGCATCCATCTTGGACACGAGGTGACATACAATATGCGCAGAGCCAACGTACAGTTGATAGCGAAGTCCGCATGGGCATTGAGATCGGTTTGATTAAGGGTCCTCGACCCAAAGGGCAAACCTTAGGCGTTCCCGAGGCTCTGTCCAGATATTGAAGTCATGTCTGTTTGCCATCCGATAGAGAAAAAAACATAATTTCCGCGATGAGGAAGTCGAAAGGAGCGAAGAGGCGAACTTCAGTGAGCAGTTTAGAAAAAGCAGAAGATGCGATCACAGGAACAAGTTTACTGGCCTGACGTTGCGGATTCTCGAGCGAATCCATCATCAGAGGCAGCCGCAGATAAGGACAGTGGAGGCATACGGAGTGCGGCATTTATATTACGTAGCTGCCATGGTACCACATGCGTAATATAATTAACAGTTCTCGCTATCACTGCTGAGGGTCGTAATTGGTACGATGATGACTTGTTAGTCCGCATCCGAGTCGTCAATTACTGCGATTTAATCATCCGTGTTGGATGTTGGCGTGATAATCACTCGGCCATTTAACTCGCCGTCACTGAAATTGTTGTTCGCCGGCGCCGTCCACACGTTATCGGCTGAAGAAGTTTAGTTCGGAGAACGTACATTTTCGATTATTCAGCCTCAGGCAAGGCAGACAATGAACAGTGGTCATGGGGAGAGGGTTGAGGGCGTTCAGACATTTCAGTTCTGTCAGGGAATTTAGAAGAGGGCAAAGGGGGGAGGAGTCTGGTAGTGCACTGTGTCGAGACCCATTTTTAAATGAATGATATATTACTTCCAAGTCCTCCGCAGAACGCCTATTGGTCAATGAGCACCAATGAAATCCAGCTGCTGAGCATCACAATCTAAACTACAGAACTGATGGGAAAGCGAGTATCATAAAGACTACCCCTTAACAACCGGCGGCAATGGTGATGAGAATTACCACATTGCAGTGCAGCCTAAATAACTAATTCTTGTCCTACCAACGAACAGACGGTAGTTATGAAATCACCAAATTTAGACAGGATATGTGGATGGCAATTAGAGATGACTGCTGAAGTTTGAATAACAACGACGGAAGTGGTGTAGTAAAATGCCTGCAGAAGACGCTTAGTTATAGGTGTCGGGCGGCTAGCATAAAGCATTAGAGGCAAAAAAGGAAAAAGTGGATTAGAAAGCAGTAGCTTCAAGCAAACACGGTCAAGCACAGCGCATGGGCCTCGTAGGGACTTACTAGTGATATAAGACAGAAGCGTCACCTGAAGGAACGTCCAAGAACTCGCAACCTCCGTTGAAGTATGAGACAAAAGCGGGCGGCAAAGCGGTCTGGATACCTTCAGCTGCCTCCACGCGTGCTGCACAACTCCCTTTTTCCGAGTTATACACGTAATCCTTATAAAGGGGACCTCTTGCGATGCCTACACGCAGAGAGAAGTAAACAGACGGAGGTGTTACCATCGAAGAAGTTGAGATATCCTGCATCCACTATCTCCAGCGGGCTTCCTACAGCAAACTCTGTCAGTCGAGAGGCCAGGTAGGCGCCGGAGCAAATACCTAGGTACTTTCCACCAGACCGTACGTAGGTCTTTAGATTGGCCAGTCCGACGTCCGTCATCGAGTGGACAACTCCGCGACTGAATCCGCCGCCAACACAGAAGAGGTCACAGTCAGAAAAGCGATTTTTGATGACAAACTCGCTCTTGACTGTGAACACGGACAGAGAGGGAAGCACATCTTGGAGGCAATGCAGCAGTTGTTTTACACTTAACGCGGCGGCTCCAAAATCCGAGTAAATGGCGACTCGCATTCCTGTAAGATAAAAAAAGGAAGAGGACCAGGTTGGATGCAACGAACGTTTGTGCAATGAACTCACAAATTACTGATATATAAGTACTGGAAATGACAAAGGTTTGACTTGGCGTTAAAGGTAATGGTCGTAGAATAAGACACCGATCATACAGAGAGCTCGCAGGTAAATGCGGTTGCACGAGGTCAGTAGATGGATAAAGGAAGGATTAAGCAACTTTGACATCAAAATGAATCGACGCGGTCTGATAAGAACAGGTTCAATATTTGCTAGCCAACCGGCGTGATTCAAAAAGTTGCTAATTAGTTCCAATACATTTCGCCAAAACTAACCAACTGCTTAAGTACGCCTTCTTTCAACGCCCAGAAGCCTCCTAAGTCTAGCGGCCTGGCCTATACCCCGATTTTGGACTGCAAACGTGTGTTTGGGTGACTAGCTGAGCAGGGTTTGGAACGTGCCATCGTCGTCGAACGTGGGATAAAAGGGTCCGCCTAGTTCAAGAGCAATACAACTGCATGGCGTTCCATGCCGGCATGGTCTTACTTCGCGTGGACAAAAACTTTTCTACTTTTTCCTTAACTCTTTTCCCTTTCTAGCCGCATTTTTCATCACGAGGTAAAGAGTAGCATTAGCCGAAAATCTTGTTTGCCCGTTAAAGGACGATGCTCCTTCAAGTGAACCCTATTTGAACTCCAAGCCCCTAGGACTCACAGTAGACATTTATGCGTCCTCGGTTGCAGTTGAAAGATATTTAACACGCATTTCAACTTTTGCAGTGTGCGCAAAGGCAGTACATACTTCCAGATTATTAGACATTAACAGGAACCTGCGCCGTCAGGAAGACGACCTACAGTGGCCGATCTCAGGAAATTTTAATCAACATTCGGAAACTCGCTCTCTATCAGGGTTACTTAAGCGCGTTGTATCATTGATTATAGTGCAGCATAATCCCAAGATATTTCAGTCCCGGCAGGATACCGCCTTTGGAACCGCCCCTCATAGACTGCCTGCTTAAACTGAACTCCGTAAAAGTGGCTACTTTAGTAGCATGCATTTTTACCATTGATTTTCGACGTCCTTATGAATTGCAATATATTTTTGGAAAACATGGTCAAAAACATACTACCTTGTACTCATTCAGTAGTAAATTACGTCTTTTTCAAATTTCGTACTCGGAGAAACGCAAATCTTAAGACCGTGAAATATCCATTCGAACAGCATCTTACCTGAAATTTTATCAGTGGCGTTTGTGAAGTAAACAACCTAGTTCATGTCCATGATAAAATTCTGGGCCCTATCTGACGTCTTGGTAATAGCTTACGGAAATAAGTGATTTGCCATACACAGTAGTATACAACGTGCATTTTGGAAAACCTAAGCGCAAGTGCGACTGCAGCCAGGACTCAAAATTATTTAGAAGTTGAAAAAAACTCTAAACCCAATAGATGTCCCTTCTCCAAGTATAAAATTCTAAGAAAACGTTACCTTCTACCAAGTGGATATAAGAAGGCATATTTTCGATTATTTTTTCCATCAAATATATTTGAGTCCATAAGAGTATCAAAAATAGATGGAGAAAAATCATACCATTTTTATACCAACGGTAAACCAGTTGAAACAGATTTGTCCTCCTGGTTTTAAAATACAAGCACTGCAAGCATAAACCCGCCAGTGTCATGTTTACCTGTCTAGCAGCAAAAAAACTTTGTTCACATCCACAGTAGGAAAACGCTAGTCCGGCGACGCAGAATCAGCCCTATTGGCATGGCCACCGATTTGTTTGTCGCACATGTTAGACGGATAATACGAGTGTATACTGTCAATTAAAAGTAGCATAGTCTAATCAGAGACTTCTGCGCGGGAAGTGCGGGCTGAGCATAAACATAGGAATAAGGCTTACGGTCAAGCAAGTATTTCTTAGTTTTTTTCGCAATTACGTTTTGAAACACTCAGTCTAGATGTCACCCTCGGTTTAATGGACACTAACCAAAGAGCCTAGGGACGAAATAAAAAGGGATTAGTGTGGTCGTTTCAAATACCAATACCCGGTTAAATTAGCTCAACGGTGAGAAAACAGTTTTTTTCAGCAAAGAATTGCGTGACAACAGAGATTAGAAAGACCAAGATGGCCATTTCTGATTTTTTACCCGTTGAAATGCGGGTTCAGTTAACCCTGGGTTTAGGGACCTAGGACTCAAGCACAGACTGCTCAGTCATCAAGCGTTTGTATGTAAGTCAAAAATTCGATCGTTGAGCCACGGACCCGTTGTCCTAACGACTGCGATCGAGAATATTCAGTGCCATAGGATGGAGGCTCACCGATCAGGTTACGCGACATGCTTGTTCCGCTGCACCATAGGGGTCAACCTAGAGTCCCCCTGGCAGTCGCACTGCGGTTAGTGATGAATGTAGAACAAGATCACCGACAAAGAAAAGGGAGATTGAGATAGCCATCTCTGGTTTGTTGGACGCCTTCTGTTGCCATTTTCAAATCCAGACCTGGATCACCTGTGATTTAGACCCAGGTTCTCCGGTCATTGAGTGTTATGCAGGGCAGTGTTCTGCCATTGAGTCATGGGTCCGTTGTTCTGTCCGTTATGATCAGGAATATTAACTTTGTTGGAGAGAACAACGGGAGGAACGCGTCCATAACCCGATCGTTGAGCCAAGAACTTTATTAGATAATTGAAACCGCAGATGCCTTCGGCCCATTCGCCTGATGACATGCCCCAAAGAGCCCCGCCTCAGTTTCACGAGATGCTAGGGGGTACTATTGTCGAAATACTAGACAGAATCTTCCCTAAACCTGTCCGACTGAACTGATTCGAGTGGACATCATTAAAACATGCTACAACAGTGTAGAATTAAAACTCGCCATCCCCACTCTGACAACCAGAACATCGAGCGCAGGATGCAGCATGCAATTCCCTTGGAGGTTCACCATGTTATGGTGCTGAAGCAGCACCATAACACTGACTTGCACAGCACCAGCCATACTCCCTTTTGCCTCACCCACTTAGCTCAAACGGTAAGACGACCGGGGGCAGATCTGGACTCAGTGGTTAAACAAGCCGTCTTCGCGTGCCACACACACGGCAAGGTTCCCACTACACGTACCTGGCATCTGTACGGAAAGTTCGGATCCCGCACGCGTGTGAGTTCCTTAAAGATCACATTAAGAAGCCATTGCAGTCTGACTGTCAGTCCTGAGGGGGACGGGCGATGCCGTCGGTTGGCAATCTTCCAACTCACGACGCGCTACGCGTCGTGATATATTTATCCGTGAGTACGGGATCTCCAGCTTCAATCTCACGCTCTATTCTCTTTCCCACACACCAGTCGACTGCTCAGGCAGGTAACGTGATTGGACTCAGTGACTGACACGGCGTGAAGGCCTACATCAAAGGCTTTTCGCCAAACCCAGCGCGTTGCACACTGCAGTTTACGGGATGCAAACCAATTATAATAGGTCCTAACACGGAAGTTTGGCGTTTTGTTTAAAGTGGAGACAAAATGTGTTAAGCTGTGTAACATTTAGAAACATTTAGAACATTTAGCTCCAACATTTAGAAACAGTGCTCTTCGAACAAAAAGTTGTCACCCCATGAGTACCTGGCTTCTGTATGGGAAGTTCGGACCCCGTAAAGGTCACATTAAGATGCCACTGCAGCCTGACTCTCAGTCCTGAGGAGGACGGGTGATCCCGTCAGTTGGCAATCTTCCAACTCACGACGCGTGAGTACGGAATCTCCAGCTTCAATCTCACGCTCTATTCTTTTTCCCGCTCACCAGTCGACTGCTTAAGCCTGTCAACTAACGGGTAATGGGATTGGACTCAGTGGTTGACACGGCGTAAAGGCCCGCATCAAAGGCGTGCCGCCAAACCCCGCCCGTGCCGCACTGCAGTTTACGAGATGCAAACCAATTATAATAGGCGTTTTGTTTAAACTGGAGACAAAATGTGTTAAGCTGTGTAAAGAGGAACATTTGGAAAGAGTGCTCTTGGAACAAAAAGTTGCCACCGCATGAGTACACCGATGTACGAGGAATAACTAGCGATTGCGCAATTCTAATAATATCGGCACATCAGTCATGATTCTGGAGCGACATATCGTGTTAGTCACACTAGCTAGTAAAAATCGGAGCAGCTAGTTAGCAAAGGACGTAGCAATGATCGACCTCGAGCCCTCGCCACGTTAATGCCAATTGTTGCGCAATATTAGCCGCGAATTGACAAGGACCGTAAGGCGGACGCGATGGCAAACTGTCGCAGCACTTGCACATCAGTCTGCCGAGCCACTCTACCGAACCGTGGTGATACCGTGCCGAAGCTGACCAAAGTGGTTTCCGTCCCGAAGGCCCCTCTCGAGCACTGACTGCCTTTGAGAAAATAAAGGATTCCCTAGCTGGTGCGTCCAGCTCCCGAAGCTGGACCGGCCCGACCATTGGCCTTCTCAAAGACACTCGCCAGCAGAGGCACGCTACAGTACCTCTAGTCCGTGAAGCATT